TTTGTTCCAATGTGCTATGATTCACATCACTGTATGAAGAGGTTAATCTTTTCACATCTGTAGTTTTCTGGATCAGAGTGTGGTCTAATAACTATCTGTCAAAGACTATTACTGACGGGTAATTCTCTACAGTATTCAATAATGCTGCTGGCTTCCCATTGGCCTGAAGAAGACAGTGGTGCTGCCAGTAAAATTGGAAAGGGCTAGTGCTATAAAAGTTTAATATGTGAGAAATATTCTTAATAGAATTAGACAGTGCCATCGGAAAACTAATCTGGTATATAGCCATAGACTGATTAAAGTGACCTGACCTCAGAGACGCCTCAACAAGCTGATATAGTAGCGACCTAAGACACAACATAATGCGGCTAACACCTATTTGATGAGAACAATTAGAAGCCTCCGGTAAGTTGCTCACTACGGATTTGCTGATTTGCTTCTGGCCATAAGTAGAGAATCCTGGATATATAGGTGTAAAATATGGAATTCATTGCTCAAGTGAAAGAGCGATAATTTATCATTCAAGTGAAATTTGAAATCCAGCTCGGACCCCTCAACAAGCTAGTGTAGTTGGCACGCAAGTTAAATTATTGAAATGCTCGTGGTAAGTTATATGAACTGTTAAAAGACCTGGTAAAATAGCACACTTACAACTTTGTTGGGTTTCCTCCTAGATAAATATCTGTCGAGTTTAAATTTATTTCTGCTAAGGTGCAGGATTCTGATAGCCCGTGCAAGTACCCTCTCTAATGACCTTTAATACTAAAGAGTCATTTCTATACCATACAGTCAATTTTCCGACAGAATGATTGAAAGGATATCACTGCAAAGAAAATTGAAAAGGTTTAAATGGCATAAAGATTTAATATATAAGAATTATTCTTAATAAAATTAGAAATCCCATTGGAAAGCTGATTTGGCGTACAACCGCAGACTGATTAAAGTGAGCTAAGCTGAAAGATGCCTCAATAAGCTGCTGTAGTAGGCCCAAAGGTTAATGCAACGTAATCCCGATGACACCTTCATTTGTTTTAACTTATAGTCGAATTGGTAGAGAAATCCTCAACAAAGATCATCCTTTTTCATGGTTTGTTTGTAAAAAAAATTAGCACATCTCTTGTAAAACATAACGATGTACAGTTAAAAAAAAACTGATGTCTCTGTATCTGTCAGATGCCCATATCAATTCACTCTTCCAATTCAAGAGCTTTGTGCCCGTCACAACAATGGGGAATAAAGAAAAAAAAATGCTCAACAATTCTAAATCCTAACTCATAATTATTTGATTCCTAAAATCATTGCACCGCTTTTGTCAAATATAGTATTCTGCTTAATGGTTTACGTTTAATAGTTATGTGAACAGCATGGCTGGAAACCAATTTATGATATTTTTTCTGTCTCTGTGGATTTCACAAACTATCAATTTGTGATGATGTGCTCTCACTGTGTAATTGTTGTGGAATACTTCCTTTGACATTCATTTGAAGGTGTTCTCTACCCTTGGTAGAGGACCTTATTATCTCAAGGAAACTAATTATTAGGCGACTGATTACTGTTAATTTGCATTACCAGTGCGTTTCCTTCTAACAAGGAATGAAAAAAATGACTCCTTTAATGAAAACTGTCCAGAGTAAAACTTAAATTCCTGGACTTTGTTTCGGAAAACATTAAGATTTTGCAGCCATCAATAGTTTATAATTTTAATAAGTTAAATGCTGTCAGACCTTTGTAATGCGTTTAAAGAGGAGTCTGGAATCCTGTTGGTACTGCAGTAAAATGCTGATAAAGTCAGTCATGTTTCAAACAGTGTTCAGGTTTTCTCTGGACCGCTACCTGTACGTGACAAAGTTATTGAGTCAGACTAAACTGGAAAGTTTTTGAAAGGCAGCACCAGATACCACAGGTCACATCTATTTGCTAGACGTTCATTATTTTTAAAATATTGCTTCACAGTCTTGAAGTGTTAAATGATATAGGAGCATAATGAATATTTAGGAACGGTTCCTTCGCCATAATTTAATCAAGAGGTTCCAGTGACATTCTAAACCACGAGTGTGAAAGTGAGCAATCGCTCCCCTGTTGCTCTTTTATTATAAATGTTTCAGTTCTACACGGAGGGGTTATTTCTTTTTTTTTGCATTTCCGCCAAGATTCAATACCCTTTGATGTGCTGTGACATTCAGGGTTTTGGCAACGTTCCTACGGTTATTACCTCTGGAAAACACCCAACAAAATTAGTATCTTTAGAAAATATTATTTTCCTTTATCCAGCCAAGTAACTGGGCATTCAAATTTAACTTTGTTTTGTGGTTCACTTGTGCTCTCCTTGAATGCCCCAAAAATATACAAGAGCAAAACATACATAATATAAATAAAATATCGTCTTTTCCAATATCTGTTCTGTATACTGCCAGTGCCTTTAAAATAAGAGAAATTGGTAATCCAACAATACAACAGCTTTCATTTATATAGCAGGGTCCCGTCCCAGAGCGTTAATCCACGAACATTGTGTTGCCGAAAGAAACAATAGTATTCTTTCACTAAGAAATAATAATAATAATAATCCTTACATTTGATATAGCACCTTATCACGTCGTTGAAATGTCTCACAGCGCTTCGCAGAACATACTGTAAATTAAGACAACGATAATGTGGCAAACATTTTGTTGTGTGCATTCACATTTGGCCAATAGAAATTAAATTGTTAAATGGAGGGACTTTGTGGTTTTGTGAGAGGGAAGGAGGAGGGGGAATCGCACGTTGTTACAAAATGTTTTGCAGTTTCTGTGTCTAAAACTGATTTCACTGCAGGGTCTGAACAGCAAATAAGGGGTAATTGTTACCAGTAATAGAGGGAAAGAAAATTATCTTCTGCTTTGTTTGATGGATTTATAGACTCGGGATGGGTGCTATTGATTATGTTTTGCTACCTGCTGCAAAGTCCTTCAGAAGCTATTCACCAACCAGTCAAGAACAGAGCAATAGAGAGGAAATGTTAGACAACAGAAATATTATAACAGAAAGAAATGTGATAGTGTGTGTGTGTGTATATATATACAATATGTATATATAATAGTTGTATAATATATAGAACATTAAAGCCATTTTACTAAATCAACGATTTAAGAATTCTAATAACTCTTCTGCAAAAAAAAAATTGCCAAACCTATCCTGAAGTTCTTTCCAATTTTATCCGCTTTAAGTAAACTTGTTTGCAGAAAACCCCGACGCTTTGAACTTCAAATGGCAGAGCTCTGCTGAGCTGAGCTGATAAGCAGTAATGTACCACATTTACAACCCTACTCACTCTGCTCCTCTGCCTATTTCACCTTTCTGACTGTCGGAAGATAAGTTCTTGTTTTTACAAGCTACTCTTTTTTCTCTCCACCTCCCCCAGATGTACATGTTTTTTTTTCTAGATTTGCTGACTATTAAACTGTCATGCAACATGATTTTCTTTGTTTATTTTCAACCCATGCAGAAAATACTGCAAGCAATGATTTGTCAGTTTTCCAGAGCATATTATAACAGCCTGTTCTTGTTTGGCTTCAAATTCTTCTCTGATAATGGCATGTCAGCAACCTAATTCAGGCTTTGATTTTGTCATGGTTTATTTAACAATATGATCAGAATGCTCGTTGAGGGGCGAGGGGTGATTTATATTGGCCTTGACTCATAAAGCAAGTGGAATTGAAAAATACAATTAATCTGCCATAAGGCATAAGCATAATTTAATGGTTTGTCCCCCACTTTCTGGGTAAGATATATAAATTCCCTTGAGGCTTTCAAACAAAAGTCTTGAGTCATTCATTTGAGGTGGAAATTGTTCTTTAAAGACAAACCCTCATTGTTTTGAAGGGGAGAAGGCACTTGTCATTTGTTTTTAATCATTATTATTAAAGATAGTAAGTTAAAATGATTCCACTTTAATTAAGGAATAACACTAAATTCATTGTGAGAGAAATAGATTGTTGCATATCTATTAATGTCTTCAGATTTCACAAATAAACGACTAAATAAAATCTTGAACCGTATGAAACCAAATGTGTTGACAACATGTATAAACATAATTGTTGTAGTTGAATAGAAGCAAAAAATGTTGTACTACTAAGCAAACTAAGGCATGTGGAGTACAGAAACTTGCCTAAGGTTTTGCACCACCCAGGAATCGAACTCGCTTGAGAGGAGAATGTGCTAACCACTACATTACAGGACTTCACAAAGTATAGAAAGCCCTCCATGGAGATGATCTGAATTGATAATGAGTTATTTTAGACTAAAACTCCTGTTTGCCAAAAGGGTTATTGCCCGAGCAGGAGTTTCACTGGATTGGAAACCAAATGTTGCTGATTTTTAAGCAAAAAAATTCACTCAAAAAGTTAAAACCTCAATGGAACTAATCTTGGCACTGTTTTACAGTTTGGCACCGTATAAACCTAACCTAAGATCTGAGTCTTGCATGTTGCACGCCATCCATTGAATCCATACGAGTTTGTTGTGGTTTTAGTGGCTGGAATCCAGTAGTGTACTGACTTCCTCTAAACACAGTCCACAGGAGACCTACATTATAAGCAAACTCGTCCCCAGCAAAGTGTTCAATAATGATCTCCTTTGTATCTGCTCCAAGTCTACATGCGGCCTGAGCAGTAATTTTGTTGTTTGGTCTATCTTCTTCAGCGATAAGAGTGAAACAGATTTTTAGTTTCTATGTTTCCTGTTGAACTTGAATTAATTATTTTCAAATGTTTATCATAATTAATGGTTATGCAGACTCCACTTTACAAGAAGATTGATCTGTAAAGTGCATTTCACCGTTCATTATAGGCTAATCATTAAAAATTAGTTCTCGTTATTGCAAATGGATAGTAATTTTCCTTTAACTGGACTGTGATTTCATTCATTTACACATCAAGTGAATCAGAACATTAGAATCTTCACTCATGGTAACTTGGATGCCATTGCCCATTGCGTCTGATTCCTTTTTGTTTGATCTCTGGCAGGGTGAAGGCCAAAAAGGGAGTGAATCTGGACAACATGAGGTCTAAAAATCCCACGCTATGGCAGTTGAAATCCGAGATCCTGAATGGAGGAAAACATTCCACAGCTACCGTGGAGGTGAATCGGAAGGAAGGTGTTTTACAGAAGTAAGAATTAACAGACATATCTAATTTTTAAATGAAATGAAATTGTTTTTTCCGTATTTTTCAAAACATCAACATAATAGTAACTTTGGTGTTTGGTTTCTGCTATTTCTTCACCGGTATCAGTTTTGTATGTTTTGTAGCATGAACCAAAATACAGCTCATCATTTAGCTGACTAATAGTAGGCTTCATTACAATGGAAATGACTGGCAGTGTGTGCTAAAACTGTCTTTAATTTAGTGCTTAATCCAGACAATCGCAATGAGATAAAGGTCTCCCCTCACCTCTTAAACTTCTAATGCAAAACGATCTTTTTTCCCACAGGCATAAATAATCAACAAGCTGTCTCTCAAATTTGTCATTTAAAAAAAAATCCTAATTTAACAATTGAACGCTTCAGGGAGTGAAAGGGAGTGGTACAATGAAATGGAAGAAGTAATCTTGTATGCTTTTCAGTGCTGCGCACAGCTGGGATCCATAGTAGGGCACTTTCACACTGACGTTACCGATCACAGGACAAGTGACATTCCTGTGCTTGTGCACGATGATGATATTGCCATTTCGGAGGGCAATAGAGCACTAATTCACTTGTTCCAGGAGAGTTTATTTTTGTTAAGCCCTTTGAATAAATCTACAGCCTTGCTAATGACAAAGCACATCCACTGGATGGCACACTGTTATGTCTTCCAAATTTTTTAAAAAAAACTTCCAAGAAATAGTAATATAATATGTTCGCTATCTGTGGTTTGTCCTTATTTTCAATTCCCTTTGGGTGCTGTGGGTTTTAAAGTAGACAGGAAGCGCTTAGGTTAAGCGCCATCAATATTTTGCCTTTGGGGGAGGCATCTTTCTCACATCCTGGCTGAGATTGCTGCACGACTATTGCAATCTAAACAGCTGCACTTTTTCCTAAACATATTGCAGATTTTAACTGCACCAATTTCGCCATCTGAGAGATACATTTTTAGAAAGCCTTATGGGACCGACCTTATGATTGTATATATAAAAAAAATAGTTTGACGATAAATACCGCAACAGGTTTAGTTAAGTATAGTACCACAACGTAAAAATACTCCAGTAAAAAAATGAAAAAGAATGTGTGGGCATTCCTTAAAAAAATGTTATTGAGTGGCAGGAAACGCAGCCAACGTTTCTAGAGTATTTCAAGTTGAATTAGACATTGAAAGCTTCTGATAGAAAGTAAGCTTGTAATATTGTATTAATGCTTCTCAAATGTGTTATTGCATGAATTTCAGAGAAAGATTTTTACTATTAAAACTCTTTCTCTTTCCGCCGTCCCCCCATACAGAATGCGAGTAAGCAAATAACTAATTTGTCCTCTGGATTGTCCAGCTGTTATTTTTTATGAAGGATTACTTTAATCCTGCAGAGAAGGGTTTTTTTAAAAAGCTATTTTAGCTACAATAAAGCTGGTCTTTAAGACCCAGCAAAATTATAGAAGCCTTGACACTTCCAGAAGTGTATGTTATGAATAGCCTGTCTATTATTCACCTTAAATGCACTTCTCTAAATGGATTTAAAACCTATATTGTGTACTAAAGAAAAGGATACCAAACCTTCTCTTGCACTTTGTTCCTTATCCACATCATTTCCTTTACTCATCATTCGACATTATCAGCTCTTTCTTGATGATTGCATTCTGTTCACCAACTTTCTTCAGATTGTTCACCTCAGTGCACACTACCTCTGCTCTTTTCACAGAGGAGTGGCTGAATCACTAAATCGTGCTCTCCGCCATGTCTTTTGATGATGCAATAATCATCTTTATTTCAATTCTTCAGTTTCACAATTTTTCTTGCAAGTTGAACCAACAGTTACAAACAGCTACTAACCTTTTACTTAAAATATTTCCATTCATGTTCCCACCTCATCCATCATGATTTATAGCCTCTCTTCAAACGAAACGTTAAACTGAAGTCCTATCTGCCCGTTCAGGTGGATGTTCAAGATCCCATGGCATTATTTGAAAAGAGAAGGCAGTTTCTCCTACCGTCCTGACTAACAATTCCCCAGATTAAAAAAGTCATTCAATTCATGGCTGTTTGTGGGAAATAGCTGTGTGCAAATTGGCTACCGTAATTGCCTATACATATACAGTCACTACACTCTGCAGAAAACTGTGGAGCACTTTAAGATGTTTTAACGTGATGGATGTGCTATGTCAAATCAAGGATGGATACCATTTATTTTATATAGTCTTTATTTTTATATAGCACCAATACAGAGGAAATTGCTATATCAAATGCAAGTATTATTATTATTTATGTTTATAGAGCGCCAATCCTTGGAACACCAATCTTCCTTTCATTCCATCCCTGCTCCCACTGAGAAATTCCATCTAGGTTTAGGTTTACTTTACTTACCGTGGAACCCTGTTGGCCATGGCACCGGGAAACACCTTTCCCTTTTCGAACACTGCCATGGGATCCTGAACATCCACCTGGATCTCAGATCTGTTAATCTGAGAGATCCAGACAGGACGACACTCTGACAGTGCAGCAACCCCACCCCCACAGCCAGCCCTGCATTGGAGTGTCACCTTAGACTATGTGATTATAGGTCCTGATATGGGGCTTGAATTCACAGTCTTCTGACTGGGAGGCAATAGAGTTACTACTGAGCCATGCTGACACGCATAGTGCGAGTTTGCTTATAATGTGAGTGTTCTGATGATCCGTGGTTACCAGTAATCCATGAGAGTTCCAGGACTCCTGTGTAGACTGGCCAGACCACTCGCGGTGTGAGGGAAGCCAGGCTGTTGGTTGCAATGGTTATGCGTGTCCCTGGAGCTTGAAATGATTGTGACAGTGGTCATGATTGACAGGCCAGCTTCCTGCATGCTGAGGCATCGGAACCTGAGGCAAAATCAGCAGGAAATTGTTCAGTGGATCTCTTTTGACAGAATGTGTTATTATGGTCCTTATTCACCATGTGAGAGTGGGATCTCCCTACCTCGGAACATTTACATTTCACTTGGCCCATGTTACATCAACTTACCGGAATCTCTGTGTAGCAGAAAAGACAGAAACATGTTTAATGAGTCCCCTGAGGTTCCCCAGCTCTGTTATTCTGATCCTTGATCCTTATTTATTCCACAAAGGAAAAATTAAAATCCATTCATGCATCAACTACCAAATACAATTTCCCAGCAAAATTAATTATTTGAATTAAGGTGTATCAGATATGTATACAAATAACCCGAGTGCTTCACAAAAATGCCTCATTAACTGATGGTTAACGCTGATAAATATTTGCATTTGACAACATAATATTTCATTAAGGAATGCTGCTTCTGGTTTATTTTTATGATTCATTCCTCACTACCTTTATGAAATTGGTTTCAGATCCTGCTTGCCAAGATTTCTGATGACCTTGTCTTCCTCATTCTGAATTGCTCACTAAAGCATTTGTGCTCCTTCCACTGCGCCCAACAGTCTGAAAGTGATTGATTAGTTAGAAAACAGTATAAGTAATCATACATTCTTTGTGTTTAATATTTTATTGCAGTGTTCTTTTAAGTCATAAGAGTGCTCATTTAATATTTTTATTTTATTTTTTTATAATGTCAACTCCTATAACTGCAGGTGACTAACCTGATCTCTAAAATGTAATCATAAATAAGATCATACCTAGATCAGATCATCTATCTTACTAGCCCTTGAAATTGGTGAATAGCTTTGACCATTATGGCTTTCTCTTAAGTTTGAAAATAAAAGAATATACACTGAAATAATGCAAGAATCATATAGCCCACAATTTTGAGCCCAACAGATCCAATTAAAGGTTCTTTCATGATGTCATAAAATATCCCCTTTAATCCTCAAGTGCGATAATGCAGAGTCTGAAACTAGCGCTCTGTGTATTCATCAAAAAACTTATCCATCAGGATTGATTGCTGAGTGAGAAGAAATAGTTCAGAGACTTGAGAGCTAAGGTAATGTGTCAAACATATTGCAAGTATACATTTCTCAATGAAATTTAAGTTTTAGGAGGTCTGCCATTAATGTAACATTTAATAAGGTGCTGTAACACAAAGTGTTAGGATTTACACACATTATTCCCCATACTTTTCCGGATCCCGACTGTGTTATTGTATGAGTAAGCACAGTAGAGTCAGGCTGTTTATGCAAAACGTAGGATGGAACAAATAGTCACCCCATGGCTTCTCTCACCTCTAGCATTGACCGAGGAGAAAAGCCAGTGGAATTGTAGTCTGGCAAGAGTTAAACGTTCAGAAGAGAAGTGAAAATTAGCAAAAAAAAAAGTTTTAAAATGAAACAGCCAACAGAATACAACTGTCAGTGGTTAGTAGATCCCAAGTATTTGCTAATTTGCGAAAGTATCATGGGAGAAAGTCCGTGCTAAATTGCATCAGTAATTCTTGTCTTCACTTTCGCATCAGTAATCGTCCTTCTATGTGTTTTTAAAACAAGGGATTTGGGAATGTAGAACACCACAAAGGGGAACTGGAATAAGAATCCCAAGGATTGCTTTAATTTAAGGGAGCAGTGCTGTTGCTGTACTTAGATGAGTGAAGTGACATAAGTTACATCATTTTTCGCAAATATATATTTAATAAAATCTATGCCACTGTGAGTGGCATGTGAGAAAACTACAATTTGACGGTGGCAAGTATGTGTCACAAGAGCTCAGCAAACGTACATCCAGTGCAGATTTGCGCTGTGTTCCCTGGGCTCTGGGCCCGTCACCCCAGGCAGCTGACTCTGATCACACAGTTTGTTCACCGGTACGTTGGAGGTTCCGAGAGTGAAGAGAGAGCCGTGTTGGCGGTTTATTAGGAGCCGGGTAGGGGGATGGAAATGAGTGTTTGTAAGCAGAAGAAAATTGCACGTGAGGATGTAAAGTAAGATTGGAACGCTCAGATTTTATGAAATATAAAAAAATAATAATGCTTTGATAATTATCGTTTGATATATGTTCCTTTTATGTCAGGAAAACATTTGTAGAAGAGAGTAAGGATAGGGATATTATCATTGAGATCACTCCTCAATAAATTATTTTCATAGGAATAAAGTGGCTCTCACTGTGTTTGACTTTTTCCTCCAACAATCCCACATTCTCTGTTCTTTTTTGTATTGTTTCCTTCTGCCCAGAGTAATGCTTGCTGAGGCCCACTTCCTTTGCCAACCTTGGCTGTTTGCCCTTTGCACACACCCCATTTGTTTCATACCCTTTGTCAGTCACATTCTTGGCCTGTTTGCTCCCATCATCCTCTTTTTATGGGACTGGGAAATGACTTTGCCGAGAAACCCCATTAATTTTTCCGAAGGCACATTTTTTGCGAGCTTTCCCAACCAACATACCCCTCCCTTCCTCTGTCCAATCTCTCTATGCTTCGCCAAAGTATTAAGATATACACTACAATGTAACAAAGAATTGAAAGGAAAATATTTTCTGAGATTTCAGTAAATGCCTCTCGGCTTTAATTGCACACAGTTGGCAAGGGTTTCTACAACAGGAGAGAGAGCCTACGTGTGCATGATTTTAGGTTTAATTATAAGGTCTGGCATGTTTCCAAGCACTGAGTAGAAATAATTCTTTGTACAGACATATTGATTTTTGTACAAAGAACCCCATCAATTAATATCAAAGAACTGTACACCCATTGCTTTAGATAATCTCTAGTGCAGTGACTGAAGCCAAATTTCTGGGTGCTCTTTATTTGTTTGTGTTGTTGTTGGCATTCTGTGTGATTGGCTGCATGTATTTTTTTTTATCTACGCGGTTCATCCATCACCTTTGGAATGAAAAGAGATGGGGAGAAAGGAATTCACGCATGAAGAAGCTTGCCTTTAATTTAGCTTAGGTCATGATTATTGGTGTTAATTAATCGCAAATAATATTCTCTAATGGAGTTAAACCAAACCATGCATATAATTTATACGTTAAGAATATTTTTTATATTAACTAAATATATTCCATTGTCTTTCAAAGATTGTTTTCTGGTGGGAGCAAGGACGAATAAATGGCAAGTTTTTCTGGATCCTCTCACAGATCTCCTGGATTTCTCTTTAAAACACAATTTACATTTATACAGTGCCATTCATGTTGGGAATACATGATACGGTGCTACATCAAATGGAAGGATTATTATCAAATTTTGATGGGATGGAACTTGATTTGCATGGTTGTTGGTATTGATACTTTTTGTATGATTGAAATACTTCAACTGTCTTGTTTTAAACCAAGCCTATTTTATAGATCATCCTAAGGTCTCACTTGATGGCTATTTTCAGAATTTTCAAACTCTTTATTCCGATGTCTTTTTAAATGGTTTACAGAATCCCTTAAGCATGAAAACTTTAAAAAAAAGAAAGTTCATTAATTATGACCAACGCACTGGTTCTTTCAAACTGTATCCCCCACAACTGCTTTCCCTAATGCAGAGTTGTCTCACCATCCAACTGGTCTATTTCATACAAGGGTTGCCAGAATCTGAGATATCATCTTGGAGATTGGCCATCTACTTACGCTACAGTACCTCCAACATTGTCATGTTTCTAGGAGATCTGAATATGCAACGCGATATAGTTTATGCTGCCAAGGTTTTGTTGGATCACTGTAAATGTCAGATTTGTTCTGCCGCCAGTTTGGCAGGGTAAATTACGCTTATGCTAAAATGCAAAAAGGATGTAAAAGCTACATGTGGGACTTGACATAATGTGCTTTCTAGTTGTATTGTGGATTTTCGTTATTAATAGCACCGGTATTGCGGTAAACAAAGCTTCTGTTCTGTCATTATTGGATTCCAAAGCAACTTAAGCATGTAAACAAACTGAAGAAATGTTGGGTTCTTTCAGCTGATTAAACACAAATTCATGAAGTGTATCTGATGTGTTCCCCCCCTAATCTCTCGGCAGTGAAAACATTCAGTCCAATGAAATCATACAACTGGACTTTGAAATGGAAAATTTCACAAGCCAGTCTGTGACCAGACGCATCATGTGGCACATTGACTACCGAGGGAAAAATCCCCCACCAGACTCGGACAAGGTGGTGACGGAACTGACTGTAATCCAAAAAGACATCCGTGCTATTGTACCCCTCTCCATGGTGAGTTTGTTTTTTAAACAGACAAATTAATTATAATAATTAGCATGGCATTTTCAGACGTCAAACTTGGTATTCCTTATATTGTGGAAGTTTGTGCCGTCTTCAAAAAGGGTAACAGTTTGTGCTAATTGAGTGATAAAATACTGTAATGGAAGGTGAAGAACTTTTGACTTGGCTGTGCTGTTCTGCATATTTTCCAGTTATTTCCCAGTTATGGCGACATGAGATGTATGCCAGGGACAGTAAAGTACCTGTCACTCTAAGCAACTGTTTACAGTCTTTGAGAGCAATTCTTCACCCGCTCCTCTAGAGTGATGGTTCAGTTTTGGGCCCCGAATTGTAAAACGGATATACTAGTCTCAGAGGGTGTCCAGCAATGGTTGATTAGATTAATACCTGCGCTGCATTGGATAGACTGGGTTATATTATTTAGAACAGGGTGTAAATGAATTATTTAATCTGATAAACTGGAAGAAAAGATTTGGTGGAGCCAGTTCAGCCCCAAGGAGACATCTTAAATAATAAATTAATTAATTAAATGATTCAACAATGTGTACCCTTTCTAGAGCTAAATACTGTAGTAGTAATCTTGTATTACTAGTTGAGTTTTTTTTCTTAATACTGCATTGCTTAAATAGTGAGTTCTGATGAAATCATTAGGCTTACTCTCTGAGAGGAGTTAATGAGCAAATAGTCTAAAGGTACCAATTTCTCCTACACACTGCAATAGCCAAATCATTAAAATACAGTATCTCCACTAATTTAATTCAGGTTCTTAACATTACCAGGCACATTCACATTACCACGCTCGTTACCACCAGAAAGTTTTGTTATGGCATGAGCACAGACTCAAACCACTGTACCACCATTTACACTCTAACAATCGGAAAGAAAATAATAGATGGTGGTAATCTTTTTTTTTATTGATGTAGACTGTTTTCGTAAAGTTGCTCGTGTGGACAGTTCATACATGCTTGTTATTTCACCCAGATCTTATTAAACATATACAAGTCCCATCAGTAGAGACGGACTAGTGAGCAAATGGTTTGTCAGTGTCTTTGAAGCTGAACCTGGAGAGACCGCTCGCTGCCTTACCCGGCTTTCAGTGGTGAGCAGGCAGTTGTGATGTGAGTAGGCAGTGGCTCCGTGCTTACAACAGTGTGGAAAGAGAGCCACAATTACACTGCAGTATGAAAGCAGCTTGAATGCATTTGTTTCCACTTTGTCTTTTCCTTTAATGGGAAAAAGCTGAGATGGAAAACAATTTTGTTCATTCAGTATGTAGTTTTTGAGTAAGTACTGGTACACAGGATGTTGCGGGTTTAGATTGTCCTCCCAAGGACATTCTCTATCCAGCAGTTCTGCTGCACAATCATAATTTCACATTGACTTTTTTGTTCCTCACAATTCAACAAAATCAGCTTTTAATGTATTTCAAACTAACAGAATGGAACTTATGAATCCACACATTATACAGCTCGGTATATCTGAAACACAGTGTCACAGTGCCTTGTGTAATGCAGTGCTCATAGCCATGAAATACATTGCTTTTATGCATGGAACAAACTCTTCAATGCAATGTATTTTTCAGCCCAATGGAAGACACTGCTTGGTGTATAAATCCTCTTGCTCCTCTGTGTGGTATACATTATTTGGCACTTAACATTGCTGCCTCCCCGGTGTAACAATAGGTTTAGTCTGATGAAACATTTTTCTTTGAGAATAGAGCTTTACATTCCCATGTGACAAAATGTTAAAGGGTTATGCACGAGGAAGACAAAGGCACGGAAGCGAGACATTGTGTGACTGAGGCAGCAGAGACGGGTGTTAATTCCAGTGTAGTGGTGTCAAAAATTATCTGGGGATATAATAATAATAATAATCCTTGCGTTTGATATAGCGCTTTTTCTTGTCTTCTAGACGTCTCAAAGCGCTTCACAGAATAGACTGTAAAGTGAATTGACTATTTGTGGGCGAAACGTGGCGGCCAATTGCACACAGCAGTGTCCCACAAACAAAAGTCATGGATTGCAATGACCAATTTTTTATTATTGTTTTTTTTGAAGAATCATTATCAGGCGTGTGGAGTAAGGAAACTTGCCCAAGGTTTCGCCCTGAGCGGCCGGGGATCAAACCCAGGTCTCTCGCTTGTGAGACGAGTGCTCTAACCACTGAGCTACAGGACTCCTAATGGCTAGAAAAGTGAGGAAGATAGCTGAGGTTTAAGGATATTAAAGTCGAAGTTTAGATCCTTGAAGACCTTATTCTAGCATTTCACACTACTAATGATCCATTAGTTGCCTTTGTTTTATTGTACTTATTGGTTTGAATGTTACCTTTTTCCTTAATCGGGCTCTGTTCCTGCTTGGGCACTGCAATCCTATTTTGAGTTTTTTTTCAGCACAACCATCCCAATTCTGCTATCTTTCTCTGCTAATTTACTTGCTGTTTCCAGCACTATCTTTATCCCTTCTTTACATATGGTAGTTAGAAAGCTGAGCCTATGTGCAATTTTTCTTAATGTAGCAAAGAGTGATCCTACGACTGTCTGTCGCGCTGTTGGGCAGCGGTGGTGGACGCACAGCGAACTCCAACCCGTTGTGGTCCGGCGGTGGCCGTGGGGGGGGGTCTCTCCTCCGGATTTCTTGTCGGAGGGGGGGGGGGGGGCTCACGAGCTGCTGGGCGGCCGTTGGTTAGTCCGGCGCGTGTGTGTGTGTGTGGGGGGGGGGGGGGGACCGAGGAGAAGAGAGAGAGAGACTGGGGGGGAAGGCTCTTGCGCCACTGGAGCAGCTGTTGGGGCGCTCGCTCGTGGGGACTGGTGGTGGGGGGGGGGAGGCAGGAGGGACGGTGGTGGTGGGGGGGGGGGGCAGGAGGACGGTGGTGGTGGGGGGGTGGGGGAGGCAGGAGGGACGGTGGTGGTGGGGGGGGAGGCAGGAGGGACGGTGGTGGTGGGGGGGGGGAGGCAGGAGGGACGGTGGTGGGGGGGGGGGGGGGCAGGAGGGACGGTGTGGTGGGGGGGGAGGCAGGAGGGACGGTGGTGGGGGGGGGGGAGGCAGGAGGGACGGTGGTGGTGGGGGGGGGAGGAGGGACGGTGGTGGTGGTGGGGGGTAGTCGGTTGGCTTCTCGCGCTGGGAGGGAGGGAGGGAGGGAGGAGGAGGGAGGGTGGCCTTTAGGCGAGTGTGGTCCCACTGAGGTGGATGATGGAGGAGAGGTGGTGGAGGAGGATGGCGTGATCGACTGTCGAACGCGGCGGAGAGGTCCAGGAGGACAAGGAGGCAGAAGGAGCCCTGGTCACAGATAGAGAGGATGTCGTTTGTGACTTTCACAAGAGAAGTCTCTATACTGTGGGCGGAAACCGGACTGGAGGGGTTCGAAGTGGGAATGGGAGGAAAGGTGTGCGCGGAGTTGGTTTGCAACAACGTGTTCTAGAACTTCTGAGAGGAAGGGCAGGTTAGAAATAGGGCGGTAATGGCTGGGGTTTGAGGGATCCAGGGAGGGTTTTTTCAGGAGGGGGGTGGTGACAGCAGTTTTGAGGGGGGCAGGGATTGATCCAGAGGAGAGGGACTGGTTGATAATGTCAGCCAGTCGTGGGCAGAGGAGGGGGAGCTGTGTGACCCGTAAGTTGGTGGGGAGGGGATCGAGGCAGCAGGTGGTGGGTTTCATGGAGGTGATGGTGGGTGAGAGGGAGGAGGGAGAGATGGGGAGGAAAGAGTGCAGAAAGGGGGTGGTGGTAGGAGCAGATGATGAGGAAGGTGAGGGGGACAGAGAGGGCGTGGTGGTGGGTGACAAGGGGCAGGTGGATGTGGCTGCCTGGCGGATGTTCAGTATTTTAGTTGAAAAGAAGTCCATGACCTCCTCGCACTTGGCATTCGATACAAAGATTGAGGAGGCCTGAGCGGGGGCACGGAGGAGGTAGTGGGTGGTGGAAAAAAGGATTTGGGAAGTGCAGGATTAACAAATGTGATGTTATTATCAGAAGCATATCTAATTATTTTCAGTTGACTGGGAAAACTCTTTTAAGGCCGGCACACGTTACTCTAAACTACAATTAATCATAATTATTGTTAAAGCAGGACAGGACAATGCTTTCCTAAATGATTGACTGAAGTGGTATAGCATTGCTGCTTCTTTCACACATTGTTAGATGTTTGACATGGAGAAAGCATTTTCCATACTATTTTTCTATTTGGTGGGTGTTAGGGTGAGGGTTGCCTGGGTTGTGAATGATGATTGTGTGTATTGTAGCATGAGTCAGCTTGGCTCAGTTGGTAGCACTTTCATCTCCGCGTCAGAAGGTTATGGGTTCAAGCCGCATGTTTAGCTGACACTCCAATGCAGTGCTGAGGGTGAGCTGCGTTTTTGGAGGTTACATTCTTAGGGTCTGGTGTTGAAACAGGGGTCCTGTCTGCTTGTTCATTTGATGTGAAAAAAAGATCCCATGGCACTAGTCAAAAAGAAAGAAGGCAGTTTCTTCCAGGCCAACAATTCTCCAGATAAAATTGGCTACCTCGTGTATTGCACTATACCAAATGCAAGGATTATTATTTTCACTTCTGGAGGACATTTCAAAGCACTTGATGTACTGTAAAGTGGAGTGTCTATGTTTTTGTAGGAAAATTCTAACAGGAATGCCTAGAACAAAAACATCAATTGAGGGGGCCAGTTCCCTTTGATGCCATCTAATGCACCATTGAGTCATACATTGAAGTGGGTGACAGTGGACAACCTTGTTTTACCTCGTTTCAAAAGGGACAGTCTTGGTGTTTACCATCAACCCTTACACAGATCTTTGTTCTGGAATGCAAATTCTGAATAACATTCAATGTGCATTACTTTAAGGATATTGCAAATAAATTGGAAAAGGATACTGTACTCGTGTTAGGCCATCTGATTTTTCTGAGAACTGAAATTCCACAGCTGGCATAATTTCTTGCCCAACTTGTCTCCTGAAATTACATTTCCATTCATGTAGCTATGAAATATAAGAGTTATTAGGCCTGAAAGCTCTGCCTTAAATCAACAGAATGAAGGTGGGGGAAGTGCTGATCAATGGGAATGAATGGAATGTGGCATAGCCTGTGAATACACATAGAATAATCCTTTATTTTTCCTTCAAGCTTAGTGACGAAGCTAGGAAAGGATGGAAGAAAAATAAATGCACAGCAAAACTGCTTTGGCTGTGCAGGTTATTACTTTTTCATTGCCTGTCGTGAAAATGATGTAAACAA